CAGCAGCTCTGATGAACAGCAGCAGCTCCGATGAACAGCAGCAGCTCTTTTGGCATGGACTTACACTGAAACCTGTTTGCTGTTGAGGACATTCACCTGCAGCATCTACAGTGCATGCCCTACGTAATGACCTAAAGTAAATAGAAAAAAAAATCAGTTTTGCAATATAAAATAACATCACATCAAAGATCTATATATCCAGTATGGAAGATGAACTCATTTTCATTAGATGGGGGAAAAAATACAGATTTGAAACAAAACAATGATGAAGAAACAAGATGATTCCATTCAATTCAGTTTATTTATATAGAGCCAAGCCTCAACAGAAGTCGTCTCAGGGCACTGAACAGAAACATCCACATACATAGAAAAGCCAATTAGTAAAGTTCTCTAAAGAAGCAGTTGAATCTTCACTTTGTCACAGTCCCCCATCGTGAGCAAGCACAACAACAGTGGAAAGGAAAACTCCCTTTTAACAGGTTGAGCAGAGTAAGTAAAGACAGTAGCAGAGTGAAAAGTGTGGTCAGTTTGTCCTCCAGCAGTCTAAGCCTATAGCAGCAGAACTAAGGAACAGCTCAGGAAACCAAGCCGACCCTAACTATAGGATTTAGCAAAAAGGAAAGTCTTAATCCCAGTCTTAAACTGGACAATGTGTCAGCCTCACAGACAGAAACTGGAAGTTGGTTCCACAAGAGAGGAGCCTGAGAACTGAAAGATCTTCCTCCCATTCTGTTTTTGGAAACTCTATACAACATTCTAAAAAAGTTAAATCTGGTCCTCAGAACATTCAAAAAAATAAAAAAAAAATAAAAAAAAATGTAGAAACATTTCATCTCTCATCCTGAGGACTTCCTCAGTCTGAGGTGCTGTATTCAGCTCAGTCTCTTAAATAGCACCTTCTCAGAGTGGATCAACCAGTTTGCTGCTGACAACCAAAACCAGCTGATCACATGCTCAAGAAGGACCATCAGCCTAACAATGGATCATTAGCACCTGATGGCTGTTTACTGTTCACAGAGGGCTGAGTGATACTAGCAATCACAGCATTGTAAGAGGGGGACAGTTGAACCTGGAGGCTCCGCCCCTGTTTAATGATGGACGGTTTCTTTTCACAAAGATGGCCTCCTTTACTCCTCTCTCAAACCATCGTTCCTCTCTATCCAGGATGTGAACATCTTCATCCCTGAAAGAGTGACCGCTGGCCTGGAGATGAGTGTAGACCTCAGAGTCCTGGCCTGATGATGTTGATCTTCTGTGCTGGACCATCCTTTTGGCCAGTGGCTGTTTTGTTTCCCCGATGTAAGACTGATCACAGCCCTCCTGACACTGTCCAGTCCCCCGGCACAAACAGAGTAATGTTGTGTATGCTGTTCAGTGTCAGGAGGGTGATCAGTCTTACATCGGGGAAACTAAACAGCCACTGGCCAAAAGGATGGTCCAGCACAGAAGATCAACATCATCAGGCCAGGACTCTGAGGTCTACACTCATCTCCAGGACAGCGGTCACTCTTTCAGGGATGAAGATGTTCACATCCTGGACAGAGAGGAACGATGGTTTGAGAGAGGAGTAAAGGAGGCCATCTTTGTGAAAAGAAACCGTCCATCATTAAACAGGGGTGGAGCCTCCAGGTTCAACTGTCTCCCTCTTACTATGCTGTGATTGCTAGTATCACTCAGCCCTCTGTGAACAGTAAACAGCCATCAGGTGCTAATGATCCATTGTTAGGCTGATGGTCCTTCTTGAGCATGTGATCAGCTGGTTTTGGTTGTCAGCAGCAAACTGGTTGATCCACTCTGAGAAGGTGCTATTTAAGAGACTGAGCTGAATACAGCACCTCAGACTGAGGAAGTCTCTTGGATGAGACGAAACATATCTACATTTTTTTTTTTTTTTTTTGTGAATGTCCAGAGGACCAGATTTAACTTTTTTAGATTTTTCTACTTGGATTATTGAGCATGCATCAGGATTTATACAACATTCTGCTCTGGTTCCTATAGGAACCATAAGTAAACGTACGGTATGCGAGCAAAGTGCTCTGTTAGGAAAACCTGGAACAATAAGATCTGTCTGAAAATTGAAGATAAACTTGAGTTACATCTCCCACTCTGCAAATCTCCAAGAAATGACTGTCACAGAAAAGAGCTAAAAAGATGCAGTTTGTTTGTTCAACTAGTTAATCCATACATGTATTCAACTGTTTAACATGAGGAAGCCTTGCCCCCCAACCATTATATTCGTGTCCTGCACTGCAAATAGGCCCCCTTGACACTAGATGGCAGCTCTGCTACAACATAAACAAATGATACGTCCACCCATGTCCCCCCACTGGTGAGTCACCCATGTCCCCCCACAGGTGAGTCACATCTACATTTCCTCCTGAAATGTAGATTCCAGGATGAGTGTTTTCCTGAACTAGATTCGAACAGGGAAGCCTTAATATTTTTGGTGCAGATTATTCAAGTGGGTAGGTGTTACACTATGTATAAGAGTGGTGCTAGTGTTTTTATTTTATTTTGTTTGTCCGAGGCAGTGCAGAGTGACGGATCCTGACGAGTGGTGGGAACAATTTTATCTACCACCACGTGCAACAGTAGAGCCAGGGTGTGGTCAATGGTTGCCTTCACCACCATACATTAATCTTCGGTCACCCCAATCATTTGAGGAAACTATACTTTGAAGCAATTTTTTCTTACGCCTATATGCAGCTACACACTAAAATGGAAGTCGGCTCGTTTCTCATTTTTCAAGTTATCCAACTCACAAGGTTTACATATACACATATATGGCGGCAGCCATCTTGGACTTGGATGTGGCAACTCAATATTCAATAGGAAACTTTCTTATGCCTGGATGCAGCCACACACCAAAGTGGAAGTTGGTACCTCACTTGTTTTTCCAAGTTACCATGCTCGCAACATGCATGGACAGATGGACGAATGGAGGGAGGGTATTTCCAATCCCCCCTTTTCGCTCCACAATGGGGAACATAAATTACCCTGAACATGGATGTCTTTGCAGGACATTGATGAGGTCTTCAGTTGTTTGCCTGAATGCTGTGGATTTCCCATCACGTGATAGAGATAGGCCCACAGTGGTTTCAAGTAAGCACAAAACCTAAGTAGCAATGCTGAGGTGTGTTATGTTAGCTGTGACCCATGGCATGGCATAACTAATGTGGAGGAGGACTGTGCATGCTGGCTTCATGCTTATAGGCTACAACCCCATTACACCTACACCTACACCACGCGGTCAGTCAGTAAGGTAAATACATTTAGTGAGGACTACAAGCACAGCAGGGCACGACTCTCTTCACGCTGTAGGTTTTCCAAATTTTCTAAATTTGCAGCCACATTATGTTAAATCCTGTAGGGCATGGACAACATGGCAGAATCAACAGCCTGCATAAAGGAGACCTTATATTTCAGTAATGATGTCACTGTGAGAGAGAAATGGCATAAGATTTGGCTGCTTCATTTTCAAAATGTATTTTCTTTATTCAGTATTGCTTATTCATTGTATTTTTTGATTTATTACAAAAAAATTGATAGTTTGAAAACTTTCAATTAGAACTGAAAACAAAGTTTATAAATCACTCTGCATTTCACAGAAAAACTTTGCTCCTAGACTCTAAAACACAAGAGCCTTAACATCGTATCTCTACCACGTAGTGCTCCGTGCTGGTATTCAAATAACTAATCCTAAAGGATTCTGTCTGTTTGTAAAAACACAAAAGCAGATAAAAGATGAAAACAGCTTTACAAAATTGAACTTTTCAATTGGACATGTTTTAGCTGCAGATACTCATTACAAAAAAAAAAAAAAAATATATATATATATATATATATACACATATAAGTATATGCATATATGTAAATGTATATATAATCTATATATCTATATGTATATATCTATATATCTATATGTATGTATATATATATATATATATATATATATATATATATACATATATATATATAACATGCACACAACTTTTATCTTTGCATTGATTTAGAAAAAAAAGGTCAGTAACTTATTCAAAGATTTTTCTCAAGGCTGATAACTTGGCCTTAAATCATTCAAACTTTATTTCTACAGGTAAATCCCATTGAGCCTCGAGGACTCAATTACAAGAGAGACCTGATTTCAACAAAGAAAGATGACAACAATGGACAACAGCAACAACAATAAACAGTTATAAAAAGTCAAAGTTGACTTAATTCACACAAATGCCATTTGCACAAAC